GGTTATTTATAATTTTCTATTTGTAAGCTCATGTCATCTATGAGTAGAAATAGTTTTATTTCTTTTGCAGCTAAGATGCCCTTTGTCTTTTTTTCTTGCTCAGTATGTCTGGCTAGAACTTTGAGTACAATGTTGAATACAAGTGGTGAAAGTGGGTATCATCTTTTCCTGACCTCAGTTGGAAGGCATTTGGTCTTTCATCTTTGAGTAAAATGTATGTATAAACACCTTTTGTCCAGTTGAGGAAATTCCTCCTAGATACTCAAATGTTTTTATATTAAATGATGTTGGCTTTTTGTCCTTGAGATAATCATGTATCTTTTATCCTTCATGTATTTTATTGGTAGGTTTTTATATGTTGAACTACTCTGGCATTTCTGAGATAAATTCCACTTTGTCATAGTATATAATCCCCATAACATACTGTTGGATTCAGTTTGTTTCGTTGAGAATTTTTGCATCAATATTCATAAGATATATTGGTCTGTAGTTTTCTTTTCTTTCTTTCTTTCTTCCTTTTTTCTGATGTCTTTAGCCTTGGTATTAGGGTAATTTTGACCTAACAGAATGCATTAGGAAGTATTTTTCTTCTAGTGTTAATTATTCCTTGAATACTTAGAATTCACTAGTTGGTGAAGTCATACGGTTTTTCTTTTTCAAGAACTTTCTGATTACTGATAAAATCTCTTTTCTTGTTATAACGTTCTCCTAGATTTTTCTATTCCTTCATTGTGTGTTTCTGGGGATTTGTCTCTTTCATTTAGGTTATCCAGTGTGTTGGCATACATTTATAATGTTCTTTTATAATCTTTATTTCTTTAAGTTCTATAGTAATGACCTTACTTTCATTTTTAATTTTAGTAATTTGAGTCTTCACTGGTTTTTTTTAATTAATTAACTAATTTTGTGATCTTTTCAAAGAACCATTATAGTTTCATTATTTTTCTATTGTTTTTCTATTCTGTATTTTCTTTATTTCTGATCACAAATTTATTGTTTTCTTCCTTCTAATAGCTCTTGGTTTAGTATACTCTTCTTTTTTCTAGTTCTTTAAGGTGTAAAGTTAGGATATTGATTTGAGATTGAACATATGTGTGTGTGTGTGTTTATTTTTTGAGATAAGGGCTCACTATGTAGTTCCAGTTTTAAACTCACTATGGAGCCCAGACTGGCATCAAACTCATTATAATCATCCTGCCTCAGCCTCCCAAGTGCTGAGATTACAGGCATGCGCCACCACACCTAGTTCCTGTCTTTTTTTAATGCAAGCATTTGCAGCTACAAATTTCCCTTGGAGAACTGCTTTGCTGTATCTAATAAGGATTGCTAGTCTGTGTTTTCATTTTCACTTACTTCAAGATACTGTATATTCTAATTGCCCTTGTGATTTTTTTTCTCTGACTCATTGGTTGTTTTAGAAAATATTGTTTAACTTGCACATATTTGTGAATTTTCCAATATTCCTTCTATTCTTGAGTTTTAGTTTTATTCCATTGTTATCAGAGGAGACTCTTCATATGATTTGAGTCTTTTAAAACTTGTTCTCTGGCTAACGTACGGTCTAGCCTGGCCAATGATCCATCTGCATCCATCTTCTTCCTGGATCTATCAGATGCACTTCTCATAATTTTGAGGACAATTTATGTGAAATGTCTCAATTTCTTCCCTCCCAACTTCTAAATCTCTTGATATCTTTAGCCTTATTCTTTTTTATCTTAAAGGCACAATAGACCCACCTTTCCAGGGAGACACAGGCTCCTCCTCAGAAATGACACTGTTTTCCACAATACTTTAGTGTCTCTCTCTGCCACTGCTTTTGTCTGCTCCACATTTACTCAGGATGCTATCATTAATGAGCAACTTTCTTTTCTTCTACCTCCATCTCAAGGTTCTTTCCCATGTCTCCCCCACCTGCTCTTCTGAATCTGGAGAAATCAGCTTCCACTCTCCTTAACACCAAACTCATTACATGCTAAATAAAATGGCCCTATTTTTCTTCATTCTCTATAGACAGGTCTAACCCAGTCCCCTAGGTGAGGAACCCCAAAGTTTCTTCTGATCCTTCACTCTTTTTCAGAATCAGCCTTGTCTTAGTTCTCTCCTCTCCCCGCTAAAGCACTGTTTTCTATATACCTTCCCACATCTCACAAATACTCCTTGTTTCTTAACTTTCAGGATAAACTTCCACTCTTCAGGTAACCCATCAAAACTTTCTGCATTCTAATCCCAATGTATCTTTCACCAAGTCCTCTGTGCCAGGTTCAAGAGAAATAAAATGCTGAGTAAGACATCATTTGTGTTCCTAGAAATACATCAGTCAGTGAATGAAACATGTACATTAAATGTCCACTGGTTTGACATTCTGACCAGCCCCTCTCTTCCGCGCTCCAAGTGCTCCTCCAGTGATTTATGAGAGCCCTTAAAGGAATGCTTCCTTTGGGCCCCCAAAGCAGCCAACCTGCCAGCTATGAGGCATCCTTCCAATTCCTAATCTTCTCTTCTGCTTCTAGTCTTCCACATTATACTGCCAGCAGAGCCACTTGGACACCCTGTCGATTGCCAGAACATCAATATTCATGCCAAGTGTGTTGGCCCAGGATGCTCCCCTAGAATCAGTGCTGATTCCAGACTGAGCAAAGCAAAAGATCTTGTGCCCTCTGAGCCAGACATTATCACTCAGGGGTATTGTGAACATTTTCGGCAGCTCCTGATCTTCACCTTCTCTAAGCATATGGGCTCAAAACTAGTTTCATTGTTGTTTTTGCCCTAGAGGGGACTACTCCTACTGTCCCTCCCATCCATGTTCCTTCTCCCTCTCCTCCACCACAAACTCCTTTCTTCTCCCCCTATACCATGCAAAAATCCCACATTGGTGAACAGAGATGCTAAAGTATTGTGGAAAGGAGTATTTAAAAGTGTCATTTCTGAGGCGGAGCCTGTGCCATCCCTGGAAAGGTGGGTCTATTGTGCCTTTAGGGTAAAAAAGAATAAGGGTAAAGATATCAAGAGATTTAGAGGTTGGGAGGGGAGAAATTGAGACATTTCACCCCACAAATATAAGCAGAGAAAAAGAGATATTACAGCTCATCCTTGGAGGATAAATAGGAACTTATCCTATGGAAATGTTGGGGAAAGGCATTCTAGGCAGAGGAAACAGCAATGCATTCTTGGAAGAAGTACAAATAGTTGAGCAATTGAGAAGTCTCAATTTTTATTCAAAACCCTTCCATAATGTTATTTCTTTGAAGTGCTCCCACAACCTCCATATAACCCTGGTCCATCATTCTCACTATTTCTATTCTCAAAGAGCCCATATTGCCCTCAATTCAGTATCTATTGAGCTAGAAATTATACTAAGAGCTAAGAATACAGGTAAAATAAACAGAATTCTTCCTCTCAAATTTGCGGAAAGGGAGGAAAATAACCTCATAAGTATAACAGAAAGGAGTACTTGATGTCAAAGGTGCAATAGAGGTACAAGAGCAATTCGGACACCAGTACTATCCCAGATCAATGCCTAACCCACCACATCATAACTGCTCTCTTGCCTGTCATGCTCTTCTACCAGATGGTGAACCCAGAGGATCAACAGTATTGTTACATAAACGGGAACTAATAAATTTTTACCCACTGAATTACAGAACTGAATAAATAGTAAAATAAATGATTTCTTAAATAAACTAATAATTGCAAACTATAAAAGCAAAGGAACTTAAAGGAGTGTACTAGGCAAGGGAGGAACAGTTCCTGGAGAGTCCTCAGGTCACCCGATAAGTCCAGGCTCTTTACTAAGAAGTATTAATACTCAACAGCCCAGACAGAGAACCTCTAGGGGGGGATACTCATGGATGCCTAGTAGGTGCCAGGCAGTGTTGAAGAGTGTTTACAACAGTGGCAAATACAGACAAAGATCCTCACCTTTGCAGAGCTTACATTCTAGTGGAGAGGAGAAAGAACAAAACAAACTTGTCAACTGCAAAGTATGCTAGGTGACAAGCACGATAGAGAAAAACAAATCCAAAGGCAACTGGATGATCAGGGGTAGGTGAAGGCCAACATTAAGGAAAGAGTGATTACAAAAGACCTCTCTGAGAGGAAGTATTTGCAAAGAGTGAGCCCTGTGAATAGGTAGAGGAAATCCCCTTGAAGCACTGGGAAGTACAATTGTTTGAAGGATAGCCACATGGGTTGGAGAGAAGTGAACAAGTGGAGAGTTACAGAAATTAGACTGAAGAGAAGGAAGGAGCCGGATCATTTTGTCCTTACAGGTTAGTACAATGATTTTGGTTTGGTTTGTTTGTTGTTTTAATATTTTTTTTACTAAATACAAAGAAAAAGCTGTACCAGGCCGGGGATTTAGCTCAGTGGTTTCACCGCCTGCTGCGCAAGCACAAGGACCTGAGTTCAATCCCTGACAGCAAAAAAAAAAAAAAAAAGAAAGAAAAAACTGTACCAATCCTAAGTGTTAGCTCAATGAATGATTATAAACTGAACAGCTGTGTAGTAGACACAGATCAAGACAGACGATTACAAGAAACCCAAATTCTCCCTTCTATGTTACCTTCTCTACCTCTACTCTTCTCTCCTTCTCAAAGGTAACCACTCTCTTGACTTCTACCAGCATAGATATTTTTTACCTAATATTTTGTTTTGGTTTGGTTTTGGTTTTCTTGTTTGTTGTTGTTGTTGTTTGGTGGTGGTTGTTGTTGTTGTTGTTATACTACTGGGGATTGAGCCCAGGGCCTTCATACCAAGTTACATCCTCTGCTCTTTTAAAAATGTTTTATTTTCAGACGAGTTGCCCAGTCTGGGCTGGAACTTATGATCCTCCTGCTTCAGCCTCCCAGAGTGCTAGGATTATAGGCATGTGCCACCACGCCTGGCTCTATGTCCAACATTCTTGGGCCCTAACATGAGAGATCTATGACTGATGGGAGATTTGGGGGGTGGAGGACAGTTGTCAAGAACAGTTTAATAACCTTTTCCTTCTGTGTCTACAGGGAGTGCAGTTTCACAAAGCAAGTCAACCCCATTGGTGGTGAATGGGGTTGTAGGAGACTCAGTAACTCTTCCCCTAGAGTTTCCAGCAGAAGACATCAATGTGGTCCTCTGGTTTCGCAATACCACAGTTATCACTATCCACATGCCACCTAGAAGCACAAAGGTCCTGACTCCTAATCTCAAATGCAAAGAGCAGCTGAACTTCACCCAATCCTATTCTTTACATTTCTGCAACCTGACGAGGGCAGACTCAGGACCTTACCAGGCCCAGATAAACTCAGGCATCTTTTTCTATTATGTTCTAAGGGTCTTTGGTGAGTACTTATATATGAAGTACATGGATATTCTTATATATGAGCACATATATATATACATATATATTCTTACATATGAACTAAAAAATACATATTTCAACCCTATGTGACTACAGGTGTGCCTAGTGGTAAAAAAGATGGCATTTGGAGTCAGAATGAGATCCAGCAGTTAGGCAAACTCAATGGCATTGTACAGCCAGACAGTACCAGAGCTGAATAGAATAGAACCTAAGTCTTGTGGTTTTCCATTCAGAATCACCACAGCCCCCTCCATCCAACAGCATGGTCCCTTTCAACTAGAAAAGTAGTAGAATTAATATTTATGGTACCATTAACATGGACCTACATGTATCTGTCATGTAATCCTCACAAAGACTCCATGAGGTAAGTACAGTCCTTATCCCTGAGGCAGAGCCTCGGTCACAGTAAATTACCCATGGTCACAAAGATGGTAAGTGGTTCCACTTCCCACATAACCAGCCTGCCGTGATTCTTCACTTTCCACAAAGACTAGCCTGACCTAATAGAGTGGTCTGTGTATAGAACAGTAATCTCCCTAGAGAGTTCTCTGTAAGAGTGAGCCAATAGACCAGAATCTCAGCGAGCTGTAGTCAGCACTGCATCTCTAACCCGTCGCCATGGCCGCCTATAAGCTAGTGCTGATCTGGCACGGAGAGAGCGCCTGGAACCTGGAGAACCGCTTTAGTGGCTGGTACGACTCTGATCTGAGCCCGGCCGGCCACGAGGAGGCGAAGCGCGGCGGGCAGGCGCTACGAGATGCTGGCTATGAATTTGACATCTGCTTCACCTCAGTCCAGAAAAGAGCAATCTGGACCCTCTGGATAGTACTGGATGCCATTGACCAGATGTGGCTGCCAGTGGTGAGAACTTGGCATCTCAATGAGTGGTACTATGGGGGTCTGACTGGCCTTAATAAAGCAGAAACTGCTGCCAAGCACAGCGAGGCTCAGGTAAAGATCTGGAGGCGCTCCTATGATGTTCCACCACCTCCGATGGAGCCTGATCATCCCTTCTACAGTAACATCAGTAAGGATCGTAGGTATGCAGACCTCACTGAAGATCAGCTGCCTTCCTGTGAGAGTCTGAAAGACACTATTGCCAGAGCTCTGCCGTTCTGGAATGAAGAAATTGTTCCCCAGATCAAGGAAGGGAAACGGGTCTTGATTGCAGCCCACGGCAACAGCCTTCGGGGTATAGTCAAGCATCTGGAAGGTCTCTCTGAAGAAGCTGTCATGGAGTTGAACTTGCCAACTGGTATTCCTATTGTCTATGAGTTGGATAAGAACTTAAAGCCCATCAAGCCCATGCAGTTCCTAGGGGATGAAGAGACCATCTGTAAAGCCATGGAAACTGTGGCTGCCCAGGGCAGGGCCAAGAAGTGAAGGCCAACAAGCAGCCTGCTACCCCCATCCATCCATTCCTCTGTACCTCTCCCCCACACTCATCACACTGATCACATCTGTAGGCATCTTATATTGTAGTTGCAGATGGGGACCTGTGGCTCCCATTTTCATTTTAGCATTTTAGCTCCTATACCCACTCCCTTGATAGAATCTAGTCAGAATAGTACCTCTAGGACACAAGTTCTCAGTCCAAGCCCAGGAAAGGCTCTTCTTATCTTGGAGAGTTGAGAGGTAGTAACTGTTTTTTCCTAGAGCTTCTGCTTTGTTTACTAAGGATGTGCTTGAGTAGAGGACAGGGAGGAACCATGCCAAGGCATGACCAGTGAGGAGAGGCCAGAGAGCATATTGTGCTCCTAGGAGCCAGCCCTGTACTCTCTAGTCTGGTCACTGTCAGGGAGCTCTCATCATTCCAGTGGGAGATGAATGTAACCTGCATGGTGATTAAAAAAACAATGATTTCCTCCCTCACCCTAGAGGAGCTGACTCTAGAAGGTTGGGATTAATCCTAAATTAAGTTTATGTGTTAAATTTTTCTACAAAAAAAAAAAAAAGGTAAACAAAAACCCTTCTGGGGTTTCTAGTGGTGGTTGAATAGTTCAACATGTGGTCACCAGAAAATAAGCCATTCCTCACACTAGTACAGGATAAACTCTGGCCTCTGTGGGACAGGAGTGCATCCTGCCGTGTATCTTAGGATCCCTCTCCCTTGTTTTGGTGGCAGTGAAAATGCCTCTTGACCATGTCCAAGTGTGTCTTTCACTATGTTTGATTCCTGAATCATGTTCCAGTTGGCTTGGCCCTGCCACTTGGGCCCAATACTCATTTTGAGCATAACTTAACTTTTTTCCAAATCAGTATAATAAAGGAGTGATGTGCAATAAAAAAAAGAGTGAGCCAATAAAGAGAAAGGTTATTAAATTTCTAACAATATTTTTCTCACATGGCTCATGTTGTGGATCACTAGTCAAAAAATCTGCTTCCCCACAAATTAAAGAATGAAAATTTTCTCAACATAAAATTATGGAAACTATAATGAGATAGTTTAAAATCTATCTCAGAAACAAAAAAAACTAACAATGAAGAATGGCTTTAGATAATCACTTTGCAGGAAATTCAAGTTTATTTGCATTATTATTATATTTGCATTATTCAAGTTTAAGCTGACCATCAGACAAGACAACGTTGAAGACCACTGAAATTCTATCATTCCTACCAAAGATCCTGGAAGAGCTAAAATGCATTTGGATTAAGAGATCATATTCAAAAAAATAAAAATAAAAAAGCACTGTTAAACATCTCCACACTTGGGTTACTTGTTAACCTTTAGTATCACTGGAATATTTGATGCGTTTGCCATTGTTAGATTAGTCAGTGTCATATCCTTGAGAAAAATATGGCTTCAAGGCATGTATTCATTTCCTGTAGCTGCCGAAACAAAATACCACAGGCTTCATGGCCTAAAACAACAAAAATTAATTATTTTAAAGTTCTGGGAACAAAAAATCCAAAATCAAGGTATGGATAGGCCTGCACTCCCTTTGGAGACCCTAGAAGGCTATCTGTTCTTTGCCTCTCCCAGCTTCTGGTTGCTGTCAGCATCCCTACATGTTCCTTAACTTGTGGCTGTATCACTCCAGTCTCTGTCTCTGTCACACTGCCTCTTGTCTTCTCTGTGCTTTCTGCTCTTCTGTCTGTCTCAAATATCCTTCTGCTTTTCTCTTATAGGAAAACTTGTCATTGGATTTAGGGGCAATGCAGATAATCCAGGATGATTTCATCTAATTGAATTCCTTTTGCAAAGATCCTTTATCCAAACAAGGTAATATTCACAGATTCTGAAATTTAAGACATAGACATATCTTTGAGGAGATCATCCTTAAAGGAAGTACGGGAGGATCACCCTGGCTGATCAGTGATCATCAAGACAGTGCTGGGATACTGAAAAGAAATGAGACACATACAATGGAAAGACTGGGAACAGACTCCATTCCAGGCTGCATTCCATTTGCAGAGAAAGTGTCTTTCTGACACTACTTAGAAGATGGGGCATGACTTCTCCTGCAACAACTGCGCTCCTAGGATCAATGTCAATCCCTTCAGAGAGCTTATTAGAATATCTGTCCTTCAGAGACATACATACAAAGGGACAGATAAGCTACATCAAATTGTTTTGCAATGATGCAAAGAAATTTCAAAGGATGAAATATGTAGGTTTCTGTTTTTAAAACATTGACTAATCACTCTGTATGTACCAGCAGAGGGATGGCAAAGATTCACTTTTATAGACTAATGCCAATTAATTATGAGTGATTGACTAGAGTTTGGTGTTAAGAAAGATGTTGAACATGTATTGAGTTTATACATTAAGTCAACAATATTCACTGGCCATGGATAATGTACAGTATGAGGCACTTAGCATATATCAGGCATACAAAGATCCCTGCCTTCATGGAGCTGATACTCTGGTTGGAGAATGGAGACAGATAATAAATAATGAGCATAATTTATAAATAATATAGTATGTTAAAAGAAGCCATGAATTATATGGCAAGAGAGATTAGAACAACATAAGGAACATCAAGAGTCCCAGGGAGCAGGGATCATTTCTAAAGAGAGTGGTCAGATTAAGCCTCATGGAAAAGATGATATGTGAGCCAAGATCTGTCAGCAATAAGAAAGTGAACTGTGCAGACACCTAGAGAAAGAGCCATCTGCACAGTTGCCTGGCATGCTTAAGGAATATCAAGGAGGTCAAACATCAAGGAGCAGAGTAAAAGAGGGAGCAGCAGGAAATTAGATCAGAAAGGAAATAGAAAGCTGCATCATGTAAGGCTCTGAAAGCCAAAGCAAAACTTTACTTCTAGTCTCAGTGAGATTGACAGCCATTGGAGAGTTTTATGAGGAATCATATGATTCAAGTTACTTGTTTAAAGGATGCCATAGGCTATTTTGTTGAGAAACTAGTGAACCAGATCAATTAGGAGGTCATTGCAATAATCTAGGCAAGAGTTGATGCTGGCTTGGACCAGTAGAAGAACTCAGAAGAGACTGGAATCTGGATATATTTTGAAGGTAAAGTAACCAGGACTTCTTCTTGTAGGAGTATGGGATGACAAGATGGATCACAGATGACTGAGCTTTTGGCTTGAATACCTGGAAGGATATAGTTGTTATCCACTAAAGTGGGAAAGGCTATAGATTGAGCAGGTTTTGAACAGAAAAGCAGAAGTCCTTTTTTAAATGTTGAATTTAGGGCCTGGGGATTTAGCTCAGTGGTTCCGGCGCCTGGCTCGCAAGCGCAAGGTCCCAAGTTCAATCCCCGGTACCAAAAAAAAAAAAATGTTGAATTTAAAGCTAGATGTGGTGGCACATTCCTATAGTCTCACCACTCTGAAGACTGAGGCAGGAGGATTGCAAATTAGAACCCAGCCGGGCTAATTGTGAGACTTAGTGAGACCCTGTCCCAAAATTTAAAAATAGGCTAGGATATATAATTCAGTGTGAAGGCCCTGGGTTCAATCCCCAGGACTGAAAAAAGAAGTTGAGTTTGTGAGTTTGAGATATATCCAAGTAGAAATTTCAAGCAGATAGTTATGTATTTATTAAGTGGGAGAAGGTAACAATATAGATCTTTGAGGTCAGCCAGGGACATGGAATGAGATATGACATTTGTACCAAATATTTGCCATCTCTGTTAGGCACTGTTTCATTTAATCCTCATAATTATCTGAAAAATAGGTACTATTGCTTGATTTTTCCAGATAAGGAAATCCAGTCTTGGAGATAGTAATAATTTGTTCATGGTCATGTAGCCAGTTAATGAAAAAGCCAAGATCCTACCCCAGATTTCCCTGACTCCAATCCCAACACTCTTCCCATACACAAAAACTCCATTATGGCAAGGCATAAGTAGGTTATATATAATTCCTCAACTGTTACTTGGTTGATTAAGTTTAGAGCATTACTCAGTCTCTTCAATTCAGAGAGTTCTTTGTTGGGTCATCTTACTTCGACCCTCAGACCCAGACAAGGTCAGGGGCATTTGATTGTCTTGCTCTCACGTCCCCATTGCTTCACAGCTACTGACATTCTTCTTGACAATATTTTCTAGTCTTTGGTCTCAGAAATTTCTGCATATGATGTCATCTTAAATGGCTGAATATAATCGCATCTCTGTGCTGCCCAACATTGCCTGCTTGCTCTTGCCTCAGGGCCCCCAGCTTAATCCCTACATAAGAGGCAATGCCCAAGCACTAAAAAGTACCCCCAAAAAATCAGAGCTCAGAAAGTTAAAGTGCCAGCCCCAAATTACCCAGAGAGTTGGTGGCAACCCAGGCTCTCCCTTCCCATTTCTCCCACTGGTTACTTTGTCTCATACTGATGTCCCTTCATTTGGTCACTCCAGACCTTGCTACCAACAATTAGGCAGCATAGGCAGAGTTTTTACAGAGTATACAGACCATGGCATAAGCAGTGGTGGAATACAAAACACAGATGTGAAGGATCCAGACCATTTGTCCTAAGCCCGTTTTTCTTCTGTATACAGAACAACTGCATAACTTAGAAGTTTCCCATGATGTTCGATTGTCTGGGAATGGAATCTGTGAGATCAACCTGACTTGCTCTGTGGAGAACCCAAATGATGCTGTCTCATTTGGGTGGCAGGTCTCAGGAACTACCTCTCTAAGTGAACCAAACCTCACTGTCTTCTGGGATTCCAAGAATTCCAGTGACGAGAGCTACATGTGCATAGCGGAGAACCCTGTCAGCAATTTATCTTGCCTTGTCTCTGCCAAGAGTCTCTGCAAAGGTAACAGTTGTCCTCAGGTCTCTCCGAGAGCCTTGAGCAGCTTGGGGTGTGGCATGACCTCACATGCTGCCTGATTCCCAGACAGTGGCAGTGGGAGGCAGCCACATAGGGTTAGGAGGGGACAGACTTCCTCTGGAGTTCTGTGCCTCTCACTCTTCCCCCAGAGGTTTCTCCTTTCTTCCTCCTCCTCATTCCCCCTTCCAAGAACAAAGGCTTGGGGAAGGCAGGATGGCTTTCCCCACCCCCACCCCTGTCTCTACCAAGCCCCACCCTGCCAGGCTGCTACACAGACTGCCACTCCCCAGAGAGCTTGCCAGAGCCCCAAAGCTCTGAGTAAGAACCACCCACCCAGCCCCTGCAGTCAACCTAGCAGGGGCTCAGTGGAGGCCCTGGAAGAAAACACCTGGGCTTTACCCAGATGTAAATTTCTGATGTGTCAAGAAATTCCACTTCTGTTTTCTCTTTTCAGATATTTTAACTAAAGAAAATCTATACTGGAAAAACCTATCCTGGATTGTAATTTTGGGGATGCCTATAGTCATCATTGTGTTGATACTTACTTGCAGGAAAAGAACAGGCAGGTTTTCTTCCTTCCTTCTTGTCTCTCCTCCTGGGTTTCAGATTTGCAGTCTGTGGCCTCTGATTGCCAAAGATCTGTCGTGGAAGACAGGTGAAGGGAGGGAGGATCCAAACCTTGGCTCAGCCCATCCACTGGGGTGACCTCCAGGGTGTGACTGTGCTTCTGCTAATATCCTAAGGAGGCATCCTGAGAAAAGAGGGGCCCAGCTCAGGTCCATGGGCCACCCTCACCCATATTCTCTACAGAACCCCCTAGGGAGGGAGGTAAAAGGTCTCTCACTGCAGTCACACATTTTGATGACCTGATTTTATTTTTCAGGTTCCCTTCATTTGCTTACTCAGCAAACCCAGCATCCTGGTGAGCATCCAGACTCTTAAATGCCAATCATAAATCAGACAGAAAAAAGCCAAATGAAAGAGGGAAGTGGCTAAACAGAGGACTGGATGAAAGAAGGGAGTCAGAACGTCACTATTCAGAGGGACCCTATGGTGCAAGAGGAGATGACTTGTAACCATGAGACCTGCAGGGTCCTTCACACAGTTTCTCATAACGAAATCAGGGTTGTTCCCCTTCCTTCTGATGGAGAAAATAAATACAGTGAAAAGGCTTGTGGTCAGTCCATTGCCACCCAGCAAATCCGAGGCAAGGGATGAGATCTGAGTATCAAAGGACAAAAGCCAAAACCACCTGACTTCATCACTGTTGTTTGGCCAAGATTTGAGCAGTGGAAGACACACTGTAATTACAGAGGTGAAAAACAAAGTGTGAAAAAGATATGTATTTGAATTCCTGTGCCATCATTTCCTGTGTGGTTTTAACAAGTCACTTGAGCTTTCTGAGCCAGAAGTTCTTCATCTCTAACTTAATCAAATCCACCCTAAGAGCTTCTGAAAGTTTGATGATGTTCATGTGGAGATTGATTGGCTGCTTTATTCTTGGGTCTCCAGCTCTTCTGTCACCAGTGGTACTTTGTACTCCACATACAGAGCTTGAGGGAGACTCTGAAGCTTCAGGGCACCTCAAGATCACCCCCCACCCAAGAGATGAGGTCAGAAGTAGACTGCATGACTGAGGACACTGGTTCAACCCAGAGCACAAAGACGGTCAAAAAATGAGTGAACCCTAAGGAAGAGCCAGGCTTGGAACAACTGCTTCTTTGGGGAGGGAAAGTGCTCTGGGCAAGACACAGAGCTGGGGGAGGAGTCCCAGAATCCTGTCACTAATGATGCCTTTTGTGTTAACAGCTGAGACATCAGAGAACATAGAGCTCGCTTCCATCTCTCCCGGGAGCACTGTGTATGTGCAGGTCACTCATCCACACCAGGTGGGTCCTTTACACTCCATTGTTGTTTCCATTCTTACCATGATTATCCACAAACTTGACATCACAGTCATCTGACTGATCCCAATGATATTCACCAGTGAGGGGAGAGGAAGGAAGCAACAGAGGCTGTGGAGCTGTGTGCAGACCATTCTAGTGTCCCCGTGGTCACCCCTCAGGGAATGAGTGTTTCTGCTAGCTTTCTGCTGTTCTCTGTCTGCTTGGGCATCCATCGGTCTTTTCCTTGCAGTGTAGTTGTGCAAATTAGATCTTCCTCGCTCTTTCCCTACAGCCTAGTATGACACTCAATAAATATTTGCTGAATGGATCAGCGTTCCCCTAAGTTTGAGAGTTTCCACAAGAAAGGGTGCCAAAGCAGTGGGCTTCTCATGCTGAAGTGAAGGGCTTTGGGGTAGCTTAGAAGCAGTCTTTCAAGAGTGGAAAAAGGCTGAAAACTCACAGCTTCTCCACAATAAGGGACACTAAAGCCATAAGCAGCCTTCACTCCTCCCCTGTCTTCTAGCAACACAACAGGCTGCCCTGTGATGTTACTGATCAAGCACCCCTGTCACTCCTCCATCCCCACCGCTCCTAAATAGAGTACCTGTGCTGGCATGTCCTAAATAACACTGTAGAGTACATTCTGTGAGGCCAGTTCCAATGTCTTCTGAAAAATAGGTCAAGAAAACATAGCATTGTGAAAGTGATGAAAACCATAACCCAGGTAGAAATCTCGACTTCCGTCACCAAATCCCCTTAGCTTAGCCCCTTGCAAGCATTTGTGAAGTAGGTGCTTTGAAGCAGGAACAAAAGATGCTCTCACTTGCCAATTCCTGTTGAAGGCAAATTGAGTCACTTTCAACAAATCAAAAAACTAATCTCTGGCCAATTTGCTATTTTTTTCTTCAGAAAAAAAAATGTATATATATACACTTCGGAGAGTTTCTGAGGTCTTGATAATTCTTCGATTCTTCTTTCATTAGTTTGAAGGGTCAAAATTTATGAACAGGATCTTCAAAGTGCATGAGGACTTCTGTTGATATAATTATACTGCATATTCAGACAGAGCAATTCTGAAGGCCAGATATCCCTAATCTGCCAGGATGCTTGAGAAGATCTCAGTGACATAGTGACCAGAGACAAGGATAGGGATAAGTGGAGGAGGAAAAGTGGGCAGCTCCCGCTGTAGCTAATGAAAACCTGGGACAAAAGATAAAATTCAACAATCATCTGGTATACAAGATAGTTCTTAAAAATAAAGGAAATGTGGGCTGGGGATTTAGCTCAGTGGTTCCGCTGCCTGCCTTGCAAGCACATGGTCCAGAGTTCAATCCCCGGTACCAAAAAAAATTTAAAAATAAAAAAAAAATAAAAGGAACAGAGTAGTTGGAGGCAGGACAAGAGTGCTTCCCTCCCTTCATAAAACAAGACAGCCTTTTGGTCTCTCTCTGGTTCTCGAGCCCTCTGTTTTACTGGGCTATTGCTCTTTTGTTTGGGGCTCAGCAAACACCACAAAAGTTTTGCAGTCTGAGCTGGTGTCACTTGGTCTATTCCTCCTCTTACTAAACACTCCTGCCTTTCCCCTCAAAGAACTTTGATGTAGGGCCAAGGATTTAGCTCAGTGGTTTCGCTGCCTGCCTCGCAAGCGCAAGGACCCAAAATCGATCCTTGGTACCAAAAAAAAAAAAAAGAGAACTTTGATGTATTTCCTCTTTTGTCAAATTGCTTTCCCAAGAAATACGTGTGTGTGTGCATATGTATATATTATATATATTTATGAATCTCTTGTCTCTGTGTGAATCAAATGTTTGCTATTATTTTTACAGAAAATGGAAATCCTAACACATACAAAAAGCAATGATTCCGTTACAATCTATTCCACAATTAATCATTCCAAACAGGTAAAACCATAATTTCTCCATGTTCTTATATTCTTACCTCTCTCTCAGATTTATTTTTCTAAATAAATATAAGTAAAGAGTCTCTTTTACGGTTGCTCAGATTCCAAGGGGATGCAGAAAGTCTCAGAACATCCTCAAACCATACCCGAGAAGTAGGCTCATCAAACATAACTGAGTTTTTAACTTTTTTGTTTTTAGTTTCATCTTGCCTCATGCTATCAGTATCCTTAATATCTGCTTGTTGGGGCTCTCCCATCATCTCTCCGTAGCCATGAAGGGTTGGCTGAGGTTCTGCTCTCTATTAACCTATTTTGTTTTCCTCTTGTTCCTATAGAATAAGCCCACTTCTCCCAGGGGAACTGCCCCTCAACACCATCAAGTAAATTGCAGATAAGCTTCAAAGAAATTCAGGAATGACAGATCTCCTGATATCATGGGAGACAACAAAGAGAAGAAACTTGGTTTTCTTCCCGGTAACAGAATCTGAATCCCAGACAGGACCATCACGTCCAGTCTTCAGACTTGAACCTGTTTTCCTAGGCCAAACACTTCAGGAATAACATCACTTCCAGGATATGAACCAAGTAATGATTTCCAGTTGACTCCAGGACAAAGTGTGCTTTGAATAACACACCTGCATAGTGACTTTCATTTGATAACTGAACAGGGTTATGGCTGACAGATTATAATTCAGCAGGTAACCATGTCTCAGATTTTAGAAAGCAGCAGGATGTGACTCACTCATGAGAAGGTACACTGTATTGTTTATGTGTGTGGTGTCTGGAGGTGGGTGAGCCCACACTAATTTCCTGATACATCATTTTCTAGACTTTTCTCCTGAAATACATTACCTAAAATCTTGGAGCATTAGTCTCATAGACTAAAAAAAAATGGCAATACATCAGCTCCATTGCTCAGGCCAGAAATCTAAGTCATCCCTGACTACAGCTTCTCCATCACCAGGCCCTTTGGACTTTTAACCATAAAATATATCCTGGACCACATCCACTTCTCTGCAACTTTTCAACCACTATCATCTACCAAATTGTCACCAACTCTAACACGGAAGACCACATTAACTTCTGAACAACTCTCCTTATTTTGCTCTCATCTCCCTCCAACCCATTCTCCACAAGACAGCCAGAGTAATGTTTTTAATATAAATCAGATCCTTCATTTGCCTGCTTACAATCCTGCAGGTTCCCATTGCATTCAGAATGAAATCCAGTCTCCATGGCCTGGGCCATCGCAGACTAACTCCTCCTGTACTTGCCCCCCAAACCCACACACACCCCTTCCCTCTATGTATTTTCCCGGACCTTTCAGCTTCTCTAGGAGAGAAAAATTCTCTGTTACAGTGATTTACATCTGCCTCAAGGCCCTTCCTCTGGCTGCTGGGTTCCTCCTGTTCTCTAGGTCTCAGCTGAAATATGTCAGCTTCTATGAGAGACCTTTACAGGCCACTCAACCTAAAGTGAATCTCATTCTGTTACATCACCCGTGTCATTTATCACATCATTAAATATTTATTTTCATTTGTGTAATGTCAAGTTCTCCCACTATACTATAAGCTCTTCAGAAGCAGAGATGATGACTGTTTTTATTACTGTAACCCCAGCATCTAGCACATTGCAAGAAATGTTAATAAACAAATGAATATGTAATGGATTTTATGAGAATTAAATAATACAATTGGCCATTTGTGATTGGTTTGTCTCTGTGTATTCAATCAACTGTGGATTGAAAATATTTTTTAAAACTGCATTTGCACCAAACATGTACTTTTTTCCTCTCATTATTCCCTAAACAATACAATATAACAACTATTTACATTGTACTGGGTGCTATAAAATCTAGAGATTATTTCAAGGGCACAGGAAGATGTGTGTAGATTACACAGAAATGCTGCCCTGTTTCATATAAGGGACTGGTATCTGTGGGGTCTAGAACCAATCCCCTAGCGATACCAAGGGATAACTGTATACCTGAAGCCTGCAGGATAGTCCCTGGCACATCAGAGCTCAAAAATGCCAATCACTGTTGTGGCATTATTATTGTTTTTACTAGAATTCATTCTCCTAAACTCACAGAATCTTCTTACAACAAGAAAGGAGAAAGGATACTTCTTTCCCTGCCTGCCTTCATGCCATTCCCTCAGCCCAAGTTTTCAAATTCTTTTTTTTCTTTCTTTCTTTCTTCTAAAGACAGGGTCTCTCTATGTAGTTCAGGCTGGCCTTGAACTCACTATATAGTTTAGGTCAAATTCTATTCTTCTTGGTACAAGTTCCCAGTGAGAAATGTAATTGTGTTGTATACCTAAAATGTACCATTAAAAGAATTTAAGAAAAAAAAAATTCTATTCTTCTTGGGCCAGAGATTTAGCTCAGTTGTTCTGCCGCCTGCCTCTCAAGTGCAAGGACCTGAGTTCAATCCCCAGTACCAAAAAAACAAAACAAAACAAAACAAATTCTATTCTTCTACCTCATATGAAAAAATAATGTTCCTCTTCCCCTAGAAAGTTTTCCTTGGTTTTTGTGAGAGAGAGACATAGTATTATATATAGAATATTATATATAATATATTAATATATTATATATATTATATAATATGCAATATAATATATATTTATATTTTTATATTATATATCTATTTTAGTATGTTTTGTCACAAAAATAAAATATATGTTCACTTTAAGTAATTCAAGCAATCCACAAACAAAAATCCACTACAATCACCAAGATAACTACCAGTAATAGTTCCATAGTAATTAGTGAGCCAAGAAGGGACTGTTTAGATTTCCTTTTCATACAACTTTTAAGTTTTTCTTGTAGTTGATAATTGCCTCATTTTCCCTTTGCTTTGTTTTCACTGAACATCGATTTTCTTACATCCTCCATTAGCTCTACAAAAGTGATTCTCAATATAACTTTATAAGACTAATTAAGTCTGTTATACTTTATCAGCTTTTATCTCTTCTGGAGACATCCCTATGAAACATGTGACCTCCTATTGTTGTACTTTCCTCCTTCTTTTCTAGAAGCTTCTCAGTCTCCTTGCTGACTAATCTGCAAGATCAGTGAAGACTGGAGCTAAGTAAGGCTCCGATTTGGGTGGTTCCTTGCCATGTCCTTCTCATCTGAAGTAACTATTCCTACAGCCTTAATACTGTGCATATGCTAATGAGCTTCTTTTTTGTTTGTTTATTTGTTTGTTTGGGTTTTTGTTTGTTTTTTGAGACAGGGTCTCACTATGTAGCCCAGACTGGCCTCGAACTCACAGAGATCCTCCTGCCTCAGCCTCCCAAGACCTAGGATTGCAGGTATGCACCACCACACCTGGCTCCCAGCTTCTATCTTTTTAGCCCTGGCCTCCTGGCTTATATCACTAATTGTTTATTTAGCACTTGCACTTGCCCAGCAGAGATATCCAAAAACATTTTCATCAAAACTTTTGATTTCTCTCTCCAAGCTTTTTCTTCCACCATTCTTCTCCCTGTCAGTCAGTGACAACTTTGTTTTGGGGTACTCTTGATCAGCCCTCCTTTCTAAGCTGAGAGACCATCCAGTACTTGGCATACATTAATCATTTTCTTTCTTATGGGAACCAAGTAGATTTAACCAACTGTGATGTTGTTCTGAAGGTAAATACATTAAGACTTCAATCCCCAAACATAAATTGTGCATTTTGCAAGCAAGGAACAAACATTCATTGCTTATAAAATCCCTACCAAAAAAAATTTTTGTCCAGAAAGTAAGCTTGTTCTTTACTATTCTTCTTGTCAAATGGAAGAAACTACACTCCTATTTGACTGAGGTAAGAAGACTGCAATAGGCTGTCCTGGGAAGTTAAGAAAAGGGAAGAAAGGTCCTTTCCCCATTTAAGCAGGCCCCAGTCATACCCACTGTGCAATCAAAAACTTTTGGCCAGGCCTGAAAGACCCCTGTTCACATGGCTGCTGCTTCTTCCACAGCAGGTCCTCACTCAGCTCCTAGAATAATCCAAACTTCCCTTTCTTATTCTGTACCTTACACATTCAATTCTTTCTGGAACCTCTGCACACACACACACACACACACAGAGAGAGAGAGAGAGAGAGAGAGAGAGAGAGAGAGAGAGAGAGAGAGAGAGAGATTAATCCCTGCCTGTTCTTCTTTAGGCCCCAACTTCAACATGACTTCTGTAGAGAAGCCTTCTCTGACATACTCATCCTCCCCACCTGCAAGGTTGGCCCTCCCAGTTATGTGGTCTCATACAGCCCTGTATTACTCTAGTCATTTATTAAAATTGTAATTTAATAAGCACTTGCATAATTTCTCTGTGTGTAAATATCAATATGTATCTCTACTGGAACCTAAGTTCCAAGAGAATAGGGACCATGACCCCAGAATCTCAGATGGTACTCAGTCCATCAAAGTAAAGGGGCAGTAATTATTGTTGAATGAATGAAAAAACAAGACATAGGAAGTAAGTTTAGTGGATGGGGGAGAGGAGAGAATTTAAAGACTAAAAGACCTGGGTCCAGAATGGATGAATTAGCATTGTTAGACTATAACAAACACTGGAGAATACTGGGAATATCTGAAGAGGTTCCTGCTATACAAAAAGGGCCAAGTCCTCAAAGGATTCACACCAGGACAACAAACCTTAAACTCTGGTCACAATGGCCTGATCTTCTGTTGAAAACTCAAATTTGAAATTAATCCTTTCCTTCTCCCTTCTACTCCCTATACCCACTGATCTTTTCTTCCTCAACCCCTATCTGACCACCTTTAATTTCCTCTCCCTAGATAAAGTCATTATTAACACTTTAAGCACCCTCTTCTCTAGCTTTCCATTCTGGTGGCCAATATCCAAAGGATTCCCTATTGCCATCCTAGTTTCCCAGTGACTACCTGGAAAAGCCCATAACCTGTAAAGCCCGTAAGAGAAAAATCACAGAACCATATAGCACACCCCAAATACATTCCACTTCTCTTCAGTCTTTCAATACATCCAATGATACTTTTACTACCTCAGCTATTCCAAACTCTCCGTGCTTTACATATTCTCTATCATACTATACTGTCACTTATGCGGTGGTTTTTAACCCCTGGATTCTTTGTGGCTTTAGGACACTTACTAGAAGCTTTTCATAAAGGACTATTTACCCTCCCTTGGGGTTCCATGTATACTTTGATATGAGGAAGATAACCACAGGTGGATGAAGAACAGAGAGAAGATGGTCCTGCTCCAGGGGCACTGGACAGATATTTGACCTTGGATTTCAAGGTGATGAGAATGGTCTGAGAAGTGACTTCCCAAACAGAGAGGGATCAAATCTGACCCTCTGACTTTCCCCTTCCCGGAGGTTAGCTAAGGACACAATGAAAAAGAAGAGGACCTCACCACTGATTGCAAACTAGCAGATCTCTAAATGGTGTGACTGTGCCCAAAGCTCTCCCCTACCCACAACTTCACCACTGCTCTGGAGCTGCACTCTTCAAAGATACCATGCTCCCCTTGGCCCTCTCGTGCTTGCTCTCTGCGCATTTGACATTACAGAATCCTTCACACTCTTCAAGTTTCCCTCCTTTAACTTCTAATTAAGTCATATCCCAGTTTCCTTCTGTTCTTCTGGCCCCTCCTTCCTCCCCCCCTACCTTGGCTTCTTTTATACTTCACGTCCTATAAATAGATGTCCTGGATGTCCCATAATCACCTTAAATTCTGCTTTTCTCTATTCCTGTGTTCATTTCCATAGACTAAATATGATTAAATGCGTAATGAAACAAGAGAAGTGTTTGTCTTATCATAAATTCTTAATGAACAAATGGGAGGAGAACATCCATTTAAAAACCCTTCTCAGGGTCTGAGAAGTCTTCCAAATCATAGGCAGAATTGATGGCAACTTAACACAAAATGGAAGGTAGCTTGAACACCTAACATTTTAGGACAGAGATTTCTTTCAAGGGAGGAAGGGCACGAGAAAGGAGCCAGCTTACAGTGCAGGCTAACATGCATAGATGGATAAGGCATAGTCCAGATTATCATTTTAAAATTTAGAAAACAAAATACACCTTAAACAATAAATCCTACAAATAATTTTCTTTGATCAATAGTTGGTATTAGTTAATAATTTAGTAAGCATTTAACTGTCCCATGTGCTAGATACTGAAGAAAACATTGGGTATATGACAAGATAGGCATGGCCTCCATCCTCAGGGATTGTAGGGATAACAGATAATAAACAAACATGTAATACCCTTAAACGAGTAAACACAAACAAATAAATGATAGCCCCCTCCGATCAGTGCTGCAAAGAAGGATTTTGAAGATTGTGACCATGACTTCAAACATTCCAAAACCATACTACCTCAAGGTCTTTTACCCCTGCTGTCCTGTCTGTGGAGCTCTATTATGCAGGTCCTGGCATGCCTAGCTTCCTTTCATCAGTCACAGCTAAACTAAAAATCTCATCTCATCAAAGAGGCTTTCTCTGATATTTCTACCTAAAATTACTCTCCACCTCCCCACCCCATTCATTCTGGCTTGTAGCCCTTTGTTTTCTCACAGCACTGATGTCTATTGGAAAATACATATTTATTTATCTTGAGGTATTTGCCTGGCTCCTCCACTGCACTCTATGTTCATTGAAAGTATAGATTTTTCTCCATTTTCTTCTGTGGCATTCCTATAAGTCAGAATAATGTCTA